GGAAGGTTATGGACAAATTGAAATCAAGATTGGATATTTTTTAGATTCAAATCCTGAAGATTGATTTGAAAAAGATAATATCCCAATTTCCATATGAAAAGGTGATGTCCACTTAAAAATTTAGTTTGGCCGACTTCTTAAAATGCCATGCTGGATATAAATTGTGGATGAGAATAATCAAAAAGAAATTTTCATTCATACTAAATAGAATTATCCATTACAATCGAAATTATGTGTCTCAACATGCCGAGAACACAACATAATAAAAGAAGAAAAGAAAGAAAAACAACGAAACAAACAATCACGTTGACTTCGCCGGATCATCAACCGTCTCAGCAACATCAGCATCATCTTTATCTTTGGCTGCTTTTTCTACATCATTCTTGATGATCTGTTCATACATAATACGGCTGATAATGTCAAAGACTCAATCTTCCTCAGCCTTTGCAGCCTTTTCAACTTCAGTAAGAGTTACCGGGATGTGTTTGTCTAAAACTGCATTGTCTTCACCAACTCCAGGCATCTCGGTAGCAACTGGTTCATCAACCTTCTGAGATAACTCGGCAACTTTCCTTTCTAGATATGTTATCACAGCTTTGCGCAGTTGCTCAGGAGTCATCTTCTCAATTTCTTCTTCCATATTGACCTCAGCCAAAGTCTTGACATAAATGTTGGCGAGCTCCGACTTCTTCTCCTTTTCAGCTTCTAATACCATATTGACAAAAGCTCGACGTAGACGAGCTTCCCTTTCTCGCTCTGATTCAGATGCCTCAGAAACTGCTTCAGCTCCAATGGAAGCAAGAAAACCCTCACAGAAGCTCTTCTCGTCTTCATCAGCTTCAATGTGAGTAGTTGCAATGGAAGGATTGAAGTTGTGATTCTTAATTTTATGGAGAAGAAATTGGCGGATCACTTCGATATCGTACAGACCGTCATCAAACCGCTCAATAATCCAGCGTAGATTGATGCAAGTATTCATCTCAAATTCACGGTCTTCGTCTTCAGAATCCGACTCAGCATTGACCTTAAGTCTGTTGGCCTCCGCTTCGAGAATCCTCCCAGCTCGGAGACCATCATTGTATTTTTCTTCGGCAAACTTCATCTTTTCCTCTTGGAGTTTGCTAAGCTTAGCAAGATGAGCATCTCGGTCTTTCTTCAATAAATCCTCGACTTTGGACCGACTTTTTCGAGTCACCTCGTGAGCATCTTGTTCTTTGCGAAGGAGACTTTCACACCGAGAGAGCTGTTCTTCAAGCATTTTGACGCGCTGCTCCGATGTGATTACTTGACTTGTCAGTTTTAACACGTCAGAATCAAGACTAGTCTTATCAGCCCTTAAAGTCTCAATTTCGCTCTGAGCGATCAAAAGCTGCTCGTTTTGCTCGGCAATTTTAGCTTGCAACTCTTTCTCTTTTGCTGCTGCTTCTTCTCTCAGAGATGCAAGAGCTCCATCTCTAAGTTCCAAAGTGTGCTTCTTCTCGTCCACTTGAGCTGCGTTTAGTCGGAAATCATCTTCAGCCATCACTAAACTAACGAGTGCACGACCTAAGCAAGCTTTGGCATATTTGAACTTATATGCACTCGGAAGAGATGACACGCCGATCTCGGACCTTGGATCCCATACCATCATTGGGACCCGAGCTGCATCAACAACATGATTAGGCAGCTCTACGGTGCTTGATATTTCAGGGATTTCCACCGACTCAAAAACTGAAAACCATTTCTCAACTGACTCCCGTGGTTGTTTGAAATTCAACACTCTTTCTTCATCGATGGGTAAAAAGGATCGGTCAACTAACGGTTCTTTTTTCTTCTTTCCTCGATTGCCGGTATCATGCTTCTTTTTGCTTCGTTCCTCTGCAACGGGAACGTCCTCTGCACGCCTTTTCTTCGACCGAGTAACAGGCTCATCAGAAGCTATTTCGATAATCGGCGGAACTTCCACTGGAATAGCCTCAACAACTGGCTCAATCTCAAGTAAAGCAGCAGTAGCAACAGCGATAGCAGCCATAGGACCCGCTGCTGCAATAGCTAGAGGATCTGGTTGCAATATCTCAATAGCAGCCACCGACGTCGCGCCGTCACCGACATCTGTTTTTGGAGGGTTCATGATTGGATTCTCCAGATAAGCCTTTACCAATTTCTTGCGACCCATTCCGGATAAGCGCAATTCCTTACTTTTTCCGACTTTGATTCGGAGGTCTAAATTCGGACTTTTTTGGCGGAAAGCTTTAGCGTCTCGGATGGTTTTGAAACCAAGGACCCCAATGAGTGGATAATAAACTGCAAATACAGAACCGAGTTACTATTGATTCGAAAGCAACCAACTTCACATGAGATCAAAAACTTATTCAAGTTTACCTGGTTGAAACGAACTGTCAGAAATTTCGGGACAAAGACCAGCAGCTTTCAATCTTGTATTCTTCAGGATCAACTTAAAGCTACGTTGGGCCTTTTTCAACTTGAATAACTCGGTAATCCTTTCTTTCAGAGTTGAACCGAGTTTTGATCCCTTGCTTTTGGCTGCAAATAACAAAGTGTTGACCTGTTAGTACAAAAAATGAGCAAAGATAGAACAACTCGGTATAAAGGAGTAAAATAAAAAACTTACAAATCGCAGAATTAATGTTGATAGGAATTGTCATTCCATCAATTAAAGGTTTCGAAAAATTTGGAGTCTCCCAATCTCCTCTGACCCATAACCACTCTTCTTGAAATCCATGGAGTGATTCGGGAATGTCGGTTATTAGCTCGCCGATCTTCAATCCTTCTTGAGGTCTTCCCGCGCAGGCATAACAAATCAAAGGGTCGGTTACTTGCCTGTCTTCGCATCGCCTAAACGAGTAAAGACTTCTTATCTCATCCACAGTTGGTATGTCCCAACCCTTTTTTTTCAACAACACCATGAGACCGATAATCCTTTTTCATGAATTCGGTGCTATCTGACACAGCCCAATTCCCCAATTTCTTAAATAGTCTGTAATCAAGGAAGGGAGGGGAAACCCAAGTCCTGATCTTAAGGAATCAGCAAAAACACCCACACAGCCCGGTGGCGGACAAGTAATCCTTTCTCCTGGATAAGGAGCGAATAACTTTACCGATGATGGAATATAAACTTCTTCTCGGAGGATAACTATGTCGGCATCGGTCAAAATGCTGGGTTCTCCCCTGTACTCATCGATTGGTTCGGGCCACCGCCGAGCTGGACGTCTCCAGTAGTCGGGAAGCGACATAGCATCTTCTTCGACCTGTTTGTCCTTCTCGACGATATCTCTATTCAAATTTAGTCGCTTTACCAACAAGGGATCCCATCGATAATACTCGAGAGGCAATTCCAAATCCTCATCGGTAAAAATCGGGATGTCAGAAATCGTTCGGCTACTACTATCATCGGCTTGAGCAGACATCTTTTTCGAAAGTGATAAAAATGAAAGAAAACTCGAAATTGATAAAGAAATTGAAAAGATTAGGGCAAATTCTTACCAAAAGTTCTGAAAACCCTGAATTGAAGCAAATACCAACAAAGTGTGCGAGAAAGGGATTAAAAGGAAAGATTGCATCAAAAGCACAAGAAAAAGCAGAGAAGCTTAAGGTACAGAAATTTTTCGCACTCCGAAACCGATTATCATTTATAGGTTTTGATTTATAACCGTTGGAAATATCCGGAAATGGCGCGTGTAACGGACGTGTCTCAAAACGGTATAACGCTACAGTAATTATTAATACACGTGGACACGTCCGGAAACGCCATGTCGTTACAAATTTATATCCGTTGGACCCATTAAATGCGGACACATCTTTTGAGAGCCGCCTTGTCAGACTAAGAGTCGAACAGGAAATAACAAATACAGCAAAGTGTTCTCATGTCGGTAAACAAAGCAAAATAAGTCGGAATAAAGCAGAGCAACAAACGACATCAGCAGCTATTCAACAAATGTTCAAATACCTACTAATGTCGGGGGCCTCACTGTTGATATCCGACTTGATCACAAGATCGAAGACGGAAATTAATTGTTTTCTTGAAGAAATAATCTCTCAAGAAGATGCTTACAGTAAGTCGGTATTTATTAGGATTAATTACCGACTTGCTGAAGAATTACCGACTTCCGGAGATCTTCAAAAGAACCGACATCTGAAGCAAATGCAAGTAAACCGACTACCACAAAGTCCAAATATCCAAACAGAAAGTAATCATTGGAGGCATCTGATTGGACCAACAAAAGAGAAAAGCAATCATTAATGTTTCCCACCTCTTAAAGTGAAGCAGCTCAACATTAAATGTGTCTTTATCCATTTCAAGCAAAAAGACAAGAATTACCGTACTATAAATAGCAGAATTTATGATAGTACGAGGATCTTTTTTCGAACACATTGTACATGACTTATGATGATCTCGGTTTCCATCAATAAAACCGACTTCTGTACTCTTGTGACTATCGAATAAAATCAAATTCTATAATTACTTCTACTTTTACACATCAACTGTATTTAATTTCACGTTGTTAATTCTGGACAACAACAGGATTTTTCAAAAGACTCAAATGCCAGTTACAGCAGTAATGAAGGCAGCCATGAGGGAATGGAAGGAATTTTCAGCTATTTCTTAGAATTTCTCTCCGTGGTTTTATTATTATTAGTTTGTGTCAGTTGGTTTTGGCGCTTGTTTCTAGCTTTCTTTTTCTGTTTCCTGGAAATGTACTTGCTGTACTAGGCATTGGCAGTGGTATGGTAGGTTGTTTCTTTTTCTTTGCTTTTTATTTTCTATATCCCGTCTGTGGGATTTCTAGGCCGCTTCTTAGCGTGTCCTCTCATTTTTTCCTTATTCGGCTGTTGGCCTCGTCTGTATTTGAACTTGGTTCCCTTTGAGTAATGGTATATCATCTCTTTCGTTTCGAAAAAAAAAAATTAGAGAAAAATATTTTATTTATTCAATTATATTTTATTCAATTTATAAACTAAATATATTTTTATAAGAAAATTAATAAAATATTTCAATTCAGTTAACTAGAATAATCTCGTTAACCGGTCGAATAAACTGATTATTGTAATAAACTAATCGATTTTAGTATTTCATATATTTTTATATATGAAGAATAACATAATTGACCGAAATATATTAAAAAAAATTTGTTTTTATATCATATATATACTATTTATTTCAACAAATAATAATATACGATATTAAGAAATATAAATACTAAATATATTTTTAGTATATAAATAAATTAATAAATGCACAATAATATTAATTATTATTGTACATTTAGTAGTATTTTTAATATATTACATATCTATTTCATTACTAAAATGCATATATGTTAACTTATAAATAAGAATAGAATTAAAAGAAACGAATTAAAAACTTACATGAAAATAAGTAAACAAAATGTGCAACTGATCAAAGTATTCTTATTTTATAATATATATGGTTTTTCAAAAAGCGTACAGTAAGTTTTTTAAAGAAAATAAACATTCTTAAAAATTGCCTACAAGTTCCTATATCTATTCTAATTTACAAAAATAAGTCCAGCCACCATATCAAATAACATCAATACATCATCTCCCATCTCCTCTCAAATTGACCCGCACGGCCGCACACCACCACCGTCGCCGCCACATTAACCACTGAACACCCCATTGAAGTTCACTCAAACAAACATGGAGGACACGAAAAAAAAGGCAAATCTAGGAGCTTGTGACTGGAATGGTCCGTTGGCGACGGCGGGGGCTGAGATCGCGACATCAGCGACGGAGGCTGTTATGGCGGCAGAACTCCGGCACAGCAGAAAGGACATCGACGGAAGCTATGGTAGATGAAGGACGACGGCGACCATGGCTGCGGCGGGTGGATGGTGGCGGCGGATGCGGTCCGGTGGCAGCAGGCGGGTGGGTGGCCGTGTGCGAAACTCTGTGTGTGTGCAGGTGTGGGTAGGAGAGAGAGA